GCCGCTGGGTGCACGCACGGGCGGCACATGCCCGCGTGGTCCTCGTCCTCGTGACACGCCGCTGGGTGCCCGCGCGGGCGGCACATGCCCGCGTGGGCGAGGCGACGCCGCCCCGCGGGGCCTCCCCGCCGCCCGCCCGCAGGAGCGCCACCTCCGCGGCCTGACGATCCGCGGGGAGACAGGCCGACGGCCGGGCCGCACCCTCCCCCCGTGGGGGGGGGAGGGAGGAGGAGGAGGAGGAGTAAGAGGAGGAGGAGGAGGAGGAGGACGAGGTGGAGGAGGAGAAGGAGGAGGAGGAGGAAGAGGAGGAGAAGCAGGAGGAGGAGGAGGAGGAGGAGGAGGAGGAGGAGCAAAGGGAGGAGGAAAAGCAGAAGGAGGAGGAGGAGGAGGAGGAGGGGGAGGAGGAGGAGTTACAGGAGGAGGAGGAGGAGGAGGAGGAGGAGGAGGAGGAGGAGGAAAAGGAGCTCTTGGTCCTGGACGCCAGCAGCCCGCGCTGCAGCCCGCGCGTGGCCTGCAGCGCCCGCGGGGCGGCTGGAGCAGGCAGGGCCCAGATTGGGGGTTGCGAAAGGTGCCCCTGGCCCAGGGTGCCCCAGGCTTTTCGCTTAGCTCTGGAGCCCCTGTGGCCCTGTGGGCCTCGCGAGGGGTGCTCTGGAGAGGGAGGGCTCCTTGGGAATCCTGGGGGCACCTTTGGCCGGAGGCACTTCTAGCAACATCCGACCAGACCCCCTCGAGCCATGGCAAAAGTCAGGACGGACGTGTTTTTTTTTTTTTTTTTTTTTTTTTATGTTTTCTGTTTTCGGCCGCTCCTGGGATGGGTGTGGGGGTTGCTGATGAGATACGGGGGTTTGTCAGTGGACGCCAAGGCGGGTTACACCTGGCCTAACCTAGCTCATTAGTGGGTTGCTACTGCCCCAAGTGGCTTGGGGGGATAGCGATCCAGGAAAAGTGAGCTCCGCCCACTTAGCGGAGTTGCCAAATTCCCCCATAGCAAGTTTGACTATGTGTAACCCTCTTACAAGCTAGGTGGTTAGGCCAGGTAATCCTCATGGCGTCCACTGATCTACCCCCTATCCCCTTAGAAGCCCCTGCGCCCATCCCGGCAGACCCCTCGAGCCATTTTAACCATCAGGACTGTCGTTTTTTTCCCCCCTGTTTTCGGCCTCTGGGGGCTCTGGCCGGTCCTTGGGACCGCCCAAAAAACAACTCGGGATAAGGCTTGCGTACCGCTGGCGATGAAACGGCTCGACTGCACGTAAGAGTGACCCTTCGCCGGAGTGACCTTTGGTGCGGGCTCACCAGGGTCGCCCCGATCGCTGAGCGCGATGCGATGATGTCTGCTTGTGTACGTGCATTTGGCCACCTTGCGCCCCCGTAATCCTCGCACTGGAGGTCACTCTTGCCCAGGGTCACTCTTGCGTGTAGCCGAGAGCCGACCCCTGTCGGACGTGGCTAGGATGAGGATGAGTCCGATTCACAGCGTTCCTTGGGCCTCTGGGAGGCGCTCGTCGCCATCAACGGGTTCGCCTCGGCATCCTGGTCAGAGCGCACCCCGGTAGAGGTCCAGGGAATATGTTCCGTTTCTAACGTTGATGAGCGTCGAGCAACGTTTGGCAATCAGTGAGATAGCGAGGATGTTGCGTGGATTGACGTCGGCTAGCGTCGATAAACGTCGATTTAGCGCCGACAGCCGTCCAGTAGCGTCGACTACCGTCGGCCAACAAGGTGCTATCGGACGAGGAGAAGACGAGGGCACATCCGATCCGGAGCGTTCCGGAAGCTTCGAGGCCGGGCGTTATCGCCTTGGTTCGGCCCTCGGGATCCTCACAGATCGATCCGGCTCGAACCATGATGCAGGAAGATGAAGTCGAGGGCTCCGGCCGTGTTTTTTTCGATACGTTCTATCTCACGGGAGAGCGCTCAACACCGATGCCACACTCAGTTCGGAGAGTCTGGGGCGAGCCCGCATCTTGCAGTGTCAAGATGTACCAGATACTTTAGCAGCGCTGGAAAAATATCGTCATCGTCGTGTTTCATAGTCAAGACGGCCGTGCTTTTTGTTTGTTCGGCCTCTCGGGGCCCTTGCGGGGCCCCTGGGCTGCATCCTTAATTACCTCCTCGATCCATCCTTGGCCGCTTTTGCTGGCCACGCCCCGCCCGCGAAGTGTCGACACGGTCTTCCAAGGCCTATGCATCCTAATTGTGCGTCGTTATGGTACGGGTCGACTGTAGTACAGGCAGGGCATGGGCCACTCCGGTGTTTGAAGGGGCGTGTGGCCCCTTGGGCCTCTTGAGGGTTTCCTGATCGGGCGGGGCTAAGACGGATGAGTCGTCCCCGAGCGTTCTGGGACGCATGAGAGGGCCGCGGTGTCCGACACGGCTTCCTTCTCCTTCTCTGTCTCTGCATGTTCGTCCTCCTCCTCCTCCTCCTCCTACTCCTCCTCCCCTTTTTCCTCCTCCTCTCCTTCCTCCTCCTCCTCATCCTCCTCCTCCTCCTCCTCCCCCTCCTCCTCCTCTCCTCCTCCTCCTCTCCTCCTCCTCCTCCCCTCCTCCTCCTCTCCTCTCCTCCTTCTCCTCCTTCCTCTTCTCCTCCTCCTCCTCCTCCTCCTCCTTCCCCTTCTCCACCTCCTTCTCCTCCTCCTTCCCTCCCCTCCGTAATTAGCTGTTTGGGCTCAAGTCTGGTAGGAGGTGACTCCTGCGTTTGGCCAGAAGCTAATCTTCTGGCTATCTGCCATGGCGAGGCAAGTGTCGCCATGTGCGGCTGCTCTTTTGCTGGTCGGCTCCGCCACCTATGCGGGGTTCCGCAATCGCGTGCGGATGTATGTGGAGAGGCACGGGATGCGCATGTGTTTCAAAGGAGGGCGCCCTAATGGTGTAGCGAATCTTGGGGTGGTATTCTGGGCTGGTCGGGGTGCGCCTGGCGTCGCAGGGTGGGGAGGCCTTGCAGAACATAGACCCCAAGTGGCCTTATCTCATGACGTGGCACCTACATGGGGGCATTCATGGTCGGCAATATTCTCGTGTATTGAGTTCGCTGGGTTTAGCTAGCCGGTTGGACCCGAGTGGTTTGCCGTCGTGGCGCCAGTCCTGTTCACGATCCCGTTCGTTGCGGAGGCGGTCATGCTCCTGAACGGCTGGTCTTGTGCCAAGTCCGTCGTTGAGGGCCTCTTCCGCAAGGGGAAGACCGTCAGGCTGCAGCCTGGAGTCATCCGGAAGCACCTGGCCACCGTTCTGGGGTTCATCCGTCTGGCGATCAATTGTGGCCACGCCCTCTTGCCCGCTCATTGCTTCAACGAGAACTCGCTGTTCTGGCATTCGGAGGGGGCGTGCAGCACTGGCTGTGCAGGACGACTGGCGCCTGGCGGCCTGTCGTCGCCGGGAGGTTCGGGATCCCGTTCGGCGTGCACGCCAAGATTGACATCCGCATCCGCTGCCCTCTAACATGTTGGCTTCACCCTCGCGGTAGACGGCCTGGACGTCTTCCTCCTGCCTCTTATCGAGGACGCCGGCGGCGCATCACCGGCCGCTCCCTGGGAGTTTTTCGAAGAGGTGCGCAGCAACGAAAGTCGTGACGCGGCGCGTATGCCAGCTATCAAATAGCCGTCGCCCCATCCCGCCACCGTGCTTGGGTTTTGGGTCGGACGGAGTCCTCATGGACGCTTCCTGGGGTCTCTCGAGAGGGCTCTCGGAGGCTTCTGCGGGGCAGTTTAGGGGCCTCTTGGGGGCGTCCCAGGGGCTTCTTGGAGACCTCTTGAGGCCCTCTTGGGGCCTCTTGGGGCTCTCTTGGGGTTTGTTGGGGGCCTCCAGGGGGCCTCTTAGGGTCTCCTGGGGGCCTCTCGAGCCGAAAGCTCGACATGTTCATTCGGGTACCCCTTCTGGGCCTCCTCTTGGGGCCATCCTGGGACCCCTCTTGGGCCGTCTTGGGGCCGTCTTGGGGGCCTGTTGGGCCGTCATGGGGCGATCTGGGGGGCCTCTTGGGCCGTCGTGGAGCGTGGGTAAGCCGAAATGGCGTGAACGTGTAAATTCTTCAAAAACCATTGAAAAATCAATGATTTTTGCTTCTCGGGGCTGTCTTGGGGGTGCTCTTGGAGCCCTCTTGGGCCGTCTTGGAGGCGTCTTGGGCCGTCTGGAGGCCATCTTAGGCGTCTTGGAGCGATCTGGAACCGTCTGGAGGCTCGCTTGGGCCGTCTTGGGGCTCTCTTGGCCCGTTTTAGGGCGCTCTTGAATCGCCCCCGGGCGCCGGAACTGTTCAGGGAGGGGGGGTCCGCCGGCAGAGTGGGGCCCCCTCGGAGGGACTTTCAGGAGGGCTTTGACCAGCCACTGGCGAAGGAAGGGGAAAGATAGTGCCGAACACTTTGTCAGAGAGGTCTCGCACGGCCCAACCCGCAGGGCGGGAGCGGCCGGATTTAAAGGCTGCCGCCTCTGCCGCCGACCCCAGACGAGGAGATCTCGTTGGGTTCCCTCTGGTCGGTTGAGGATGTCGGGCGGGCTTCATGGGTGGGTTGTTCGGGGGTACGCGTGCGCCGTCTTGTGGTACGTTTAGGAGCCTGTTGGGCCGTCTTCGGCGGATCCTGTGGGCTTGCGGGGTTTTCTTGGAGCGGCTGAGCTTCGCAAGGGCGAGAAGTAGAAACCACCCAAACACGGATTTAAGGGTGTTATCAGTGTCCCAAATGCTGGGTGGCCTAGGCGGCATAGCAGAGTTTCCGGAGATTTATGGGGAGGTCTCGGGGCCATTGCTTTTGGCAAACGTTGGTTTGTATGGGCCAGCTTGGGCTTTCTTGGTGTGCGTCTTGAGGCACCATCCCGTCACTTTAAGGGGCGTTTGGGGTTCTCTTGCAGTCCCTCTGTGATTTTAGGCACCATCCCTCGCGTTGTCAAATGGTAGAGTGTCTCCCACGGCAGACGGAACAAGGGGCAGGTCGGAAGTCAAAGGTTTTACTCGCCTTTGCATCTCGCCACGCGCGAGTAAGCGGAATAGAGATATGACATTGCTCACGTCGGTATCGGGTGTGCGCGACGAAAGCACTATCATTTCAGTGCGTTTCTCCCCGCCCGGCAAACACAGGTTCCACTGGTCCCACATCTCTCGCAGGTCCCACAGGTCTCACAGGTGCACAGGTCTCGCAGGTCACACAGGTCACCCAGTCGCTCAGGTCCCTCAGGCCACCCCAGAAGAACTTGCAGTTTTGCGATGTGCGAACCATGGGGGGAGGGGCTTTTGCAGCAGAGCAGGCTACCTTGGGCGTTTTGGAGTGCTCTTTCGATGACGCGGGGCCGTTTGGGTCCTGATCACCGAGCCTCAGCGGATTTGGGAAAGGACATGAGGTTCGCCCATTCCGTGCCTGGAGGCACGGTGGTGGATTTTGCTCGTTCATCTTTTCCTTCTGTGGAAGACACCTGGCGGCATGAACGCATGTTAGCAAAGCACAAAATCCTACATCCCATGATCCTCCGTGTCCCTTTCTCTTCAATCTCCTTCTTCGCTCCCGGGGGAGGAGGCAGGAGGAGGGAGGAACTGGGGAGGGTTAGCGAAGAGGAGGAGGAGGGAGAGGGAAGGAGGGAGGCAAGGCGTGGATTGTCGTGTGGACGGTCCGAAGAACTGAGCTCCCGTGGGGTGGGGTGCCGGGGCGTGGTGGGGGGCGCGGTGGGGGGTGTCGGTAGGTTACGGGCGACAACTTGTCGTGTGGGGGGGGTCCGAAGAACTGAGCTTCCGTGGGGTGGTGTGTCGGGGCGTGGTGGGGGGCGCGGTGGGGGGTTGTCGGTAGGTTTCGGGCGAGAAATTGGTGTGTGGGGGGTCCGAAGATCCGAGCTCCCGTGGGGTGGGGTGCCGAAGAACGGAGCTCCCGTGTGGTGGGGTGCCGGGGCGTGGTGGGAGGCGTGGCGGGGGGTGTCGGTAGGTTTCGGGCGAGAAATTGTCGTGTGGGGGGTCCGAAGAACGGAGCTCCCGTGGGGTGGTGTGTCGGGGCGTGTGTGGGGCGCGGTGGGGGGTATCCGTAGGTTTCGGGGGAGAAATTGTCGTGTGGGGGGTCGAAGAATTGAGCTCCAGTGGGGTGGGGTGCCGGGGCGTGGTGTGGTGGGGGGTTTCGTGTGGGGGTCGGAAGAATTGAGGGTGCCATGGCGTGGTGGGGGGCGCGGTGGGGGGTATCCGTAGGTTTCGGTGGAGAAATTGTCATGTGGGGGGGGCGAAAAACTGAGCTCCCGAAGGGGGGGGTGTGCTGGGGCGTGGTGGGGGGCGCGGTGGGGGGGGTCCGTAGGTTTCGGATGAAAAATTGTCGTGATGGGGGGGGTCCGAGTAAGGGAGCTCACGTGGGGTGGGGTGCCAGGGCGTGGTGGGGGGCGCGGTGGGGGGTGTCGGCAGGTTTCGGGCGTGAAATTGTCGTGTGGGGGGACCGAAGAAGTGAGCTCCCGTGGGGTGGGGTGCTGGGGCGTGGTGGGGTGCGCGGTGGGGGGGGTCCGTAGGTTTCGGGTGAGAAATTATCGCGTGGGGGGTCCGAAGTAGTGAGTTCCCGTGGGGTGGTGTGTCGGGGCGTGGTTGGGGGCGCGGTGGGGGGTTGTTGGTCGGCTTCGGGCGAGAAGTTGTCGCGTGGGGGGTCCGAAGAACTGAGCTCCTGTGGGGTGGGGTGCCGGGGCGTGGTGGGGCGCGCGGTGGGGGGTGTCGGTAGCTTTCGGGCGAGAAATTGTCGAGTGCGGGGTCCGAAAGACAGAGCTTCCGTGGAGTGAGGTGCCGGGGCATGGTAGGGGGCGCAGTGGGGGGTGTCGGTATACGTTTGGGCGAGAAATTTGTAGGGTGCGGTGCCGGGGCGTGGTGGGGTGCGCGGTGGGGGGGGTCGGTAGGTCTCGGGTGACAAATTGTCGTGTGCGGGGTCCGAAAAAGGGAGCTCACGTGGGGTGGGGTGCCGGGGCGTGGCGGAGGGCGCGGTGGGGAATGTCGATAGGTTTCGGGCGACAAATTGTCGTGTGAGGGGTCCGAAGAACTGAGCTCCAGTGGGGTGGGGTGCCGGGGCGTGGTGGGGGGCGCGGTGGGGGGGTGTCGGTAGGTCTCGGGCGAGAAATTGTCGTGTGGGGGGTCCGAAGAACGGAGCTCCCGTGGAGTGGGGTGCCATGGCGTGGTGGGGGGCGCGGTGGGGGGTATCCGTAGATTTCGGGGGAGAAATTGTCGTGTGGGGGGTCCGAAGAATTGAGCTCCCGTGGGGTGGGGTGCCGGGGCGTGGTGGGACGCTCGTGTGAAAGGTCCGAAGAACTGAGCTCCGCAGGGTGGGGTGCGAGGGCGTGGTGGGGGGCGCGGTGGGAGGTGTCGGTAGGTTTCGGGCGAGAATCTGTCGTGTGGGGGGACCGAAAAAGTGAGCTCCCGTGGGGTGGGGTGCCGCGGCGTGGTGGGGGGCGCGGTGGGGGGGCGTCGGTAGGTTTAGGGAGAGAAAATGTCGTGTGGGGGGTCCGAAGGACTGAGGTCCAGTGGGGTGAGGTGCTTAGGCGTGGTGGGGTGCGCGGTGGGGGGGGTCGGTAGGTTTCGGGCGAGAAACTGTCGTGTGGGGGGGGGTCCGAAGAACGGAGCTCCCGTGGGGTGGGGTGCCGGGGCGTGGTGGGGGGCGCGGTGGGGGGTATCGGTAGGTTTCGGGAGACAAATTGTCGTGTGAGGTAGGGGTCCGAAGAACTGAGCGTTCGCGGGGTGGGGTGCCGGGGCGTGGTGGGGGGCGCGGCGGGGGGTGTCGGTAGGTTTCGGGAGAGAAATTGTCGTGTGCGGGGTTCGAAGAACTGAGCTCCCGTGGGGCGGGGTGCCGGGGCGCGGTGGGGGGCGCGGTGGGGGGTGTCGGTAGGTTTCTTGTGAGAATTTGTCGTGTGGGGGGTCCGAAGAATTGAGTTCTGCCAGGGCGATGATGGGAGTATTTCGCAGTGGTGGGCGAGAAATTGTGTTGGTCAATGTTAGTCACTTTCCCTCACACGCCTCTGGGTCGGCGGATCTTCTGATCGTGAAGGTGGGGAGGGGTCCGATCTGGAACCGAGCGACGAGAAGGTCGATGAGGTCTTCGTTGCCTGCGCGAGGGAGGTGAGGTGCATCGTCGTGCGGCACGCCTTGGAGTGCCTCCAGCCAGAGGTCGTTGAGAGGGGCTGAAGGGTTGTCTGGCTGGACGGCGGGGAGGTGCCGCCCATGCCGCAGATGGTAGTGCCGTGATGGGTGCCGAGAGGACGCCCCTGCGTGAGACAGCCTCGCTCTGCTGGTATGTTGGAGCTCGTCATCTCCTCCATCCTCGCTTGGTCGACCCAGTTCAGGTACTTACGGTAGAGCCTCGCATGCGAGAGTACATCATCATTTTGGAAGCATGCAAGTGGCCGAAGTAGCTCAGCAAGGTGGAGCAGCTTTGCCGCTCTACATCGTTTAGGTCGTAATTCGCCACCCCTCCCTCCCGCTCCCTGCTTCTCCTCCCCCTCCCGCTCCCTACCTCCTCCCTCCGCCCTCCTTCTCCACCTGTTCCACCGTTTCGTTGCGCAGTGCCCTGCTGGCCCCCCCCGCACGACCGCTGCGCTGTTGAATTCGCCCCGCAGGAGCGGATGTCCGCCACTCCCCCAGACCCCTCCCGCCGCTGACGCCCCCTACATGGCCATGCCTGCTTGCTGGTCCCAGGCCGTTGTGCTCCCAGGCTTCTCCCGTCACAGAAAGTTCGGAGGGTTGCGGGCTCGGAGGGGTCGGGTGGGTGGCGGGCTGTTGTTCAATCCCAGGACTTTTTGAGGGTCGGGGACGACGTCGGGGCGTTGTGATGTCTACTTTTTGCCCCCGCTTTCCCGGGAAAGCAACGAAAAGTACATACACCGGGACCCCGTGTACACCAGGACCCTCTTTCCTGTGCGAGTTTCGGTGCGGGGCCGGACAAGGCGTCGGCTGGTATAGAGTTTGGCTCCTTAGCTCCTTCACCTGGCCCTGACAGGTGTTCGCGCGTGCTTGTGGCGCCCTCGAGCCCGCACCGCCCTCCCAGACGTCGGGCGCCGCGATTTTTTCGAAACCCAGGCCCCCGACCTCTCGACCATTTGCCCGGGACCCGTCTTTCATCCCGAGTCGTTTCTTGACGCTCCTGAGGCCCGGTGAAGGCCCCGAGGGGCTGAAACATGATGAAAAAACCCACGTCTCGATTTTTTCGAGACGCTTGATGTCTGGGCTCGCGCCCCGCTCCGCCCCCCCCTACAGAGGCTGGGGCCGGGCCTTCGCCCTGCTGCCGGCGCTGCGGCTGGCGCGGACGGTGCCCCACGCATGGCCTCCCCGGGGTCGCACGCCGCCGCCGTGCGGGGTCGAGGGCCCGCAACAGTGCCTCTTCGGGGGGACCCTGCCCGTCACCCCAACTCTGGAGACCGGAGCATACACATTGCCAGTGGCGGGCGGCTCTTCCATCCCAGGATTTTTTTGAAGGTCGGAGACGACGTCGGGGTGGTGTGGTGTATTTGCCCCCGTTTTCCCGGAGAAACGAGGAAAAAGTTTTTCCTCGTTTACTAGTGTACACTAGTGTACTCCAGGATCCCGCATACACCAGGATGAAAAAATCTGTGCTTTTCCCAGACATGATTACGTCGCGCAAAAAAACACGGGAGGTGTTTTGCCCATGTTCGGTTTTTGGGGGCCTTCGCCAGGCCCCGGGACCGCCAAGAAACGAGTCAGGATGAAACATTGGTCCTGGGGAAAGGGTCGGGGCTTCCGGGGGGCCCAGAACTGGTGTCTTTTCTTTCCTCCCCCCTGATAGTCTCCTCCTTCTGCTGCACTCAGCACGTCACAGCCTTCTCTCCGGTGGGGGAGCGCTTCTCCCTCTATCCCAGCCCATCCCCTCCTCCCCTCCCCCGTGCGGGGCCGTGGGGCCGCGGTGCATCTCTTGGGGGGGACCTCTGTGATTTGAGGTCGTTTTCGCACACTCGGACCAGGAAGCCTTTGGCGCCTTGGTCCGAGGTCGAGGTCTGAGCTGAAGCTTTTCTTCACTCGAGCACATACCGCGCGTCATGTTTTGCCTCCGGTTCACCCACCCACCCAGTAGATAATATAACGCCCGCCGCCCCGCACCCCCCCGTTGCAGCAGCGCGTGTTGCTTGGGACTGTGCTCTCAGAGACAAGCATTCGAGCGGCTTGGCGCGATTGTGTTATGTCATGTGCCAGCGAACCCACCCACCCACCCAGCCACACATTGCTTGTTGTGCGGTCTCAAAATAACTTGGGTTCCTTTTGGACGAGGTGGAGGCTCGACGCCGCTGTTCAGGAGGTCCACCGACGCCGAGGCCACCGAGATCTCCAGAAGTCTCAGGAGTCCCCGGAGTCAGGATGCCATTCCTGGGAGATTTCATTCAGCACCGGCGCTCGTAGATCCGTAGTGGTCTAGATGCGACCTGACCTGCCATAATCCCGTTCAGTCCGGCTTGATCCCACTGCACCCGGCCTAGTCCTGGGCTTAGTCTGGCATATGGTTTGAGGGCCCTTTTTCTATTCGGTCTAGATAGCCCGTAACTGTGCTTACGCAGGCCTTCCAAGACTTGCTCCGTAACAGCCAGGGTGGTCCCTGGAACCCTCCGCATGCCCTCGTAGAAAAGCCAACAAACACGTCTGGAAAAGGCCAGTTCTTTTTCCCCGAGTCGCGTCTGACTGACGGTCTCGTGGCCTGGAGAGCCCCTGGAGGCCGAGACCTGCCCACAAACCTCCCGTCGCGATGTTCCACAACTTATGTTGCATTTTCGGGGGGCCTGGCCTGTCCCTCCAAGTTGGTGTATTTTCTTTCCTCCCCCCTTATCCTCCTCCTGCTACTCAACATGTCAGGGCCTTCTCTCCAGTGGGGAGCGCTTCTCCTTTTCTCCTGTCACATCCCCTCCTCCAGCCTTCCCCTCGCCTCTCGCCCGCCCTACTCCCGCCGATGCCCGCCAGCTTCGCCCCCGACGCTGACCAGGATTGATCCCGGTCCCGGCCCTTTCCTCCTCTTCTTCCTCCTCGTCCTCTCTCCTCCCCTCTGAGGTATGGTGCATCTCCCTGATCATCTGGCGTCCTTGCCCTAGCTCTGCGTTTCCCCCCCCCCCCCTGGTTTTTGGCCGGGGCGGCGGGGCCGGACGGGTGGCGGGAGGCATTCTTCGTCCTTTCTTCCCCCCCCCCGTCCCCATGATCTCCGACGCTGCGATTTTCATGCAACGTGGACCCTGCAGGTCTGGACTGTTTCCTCGGGATCGGATTTCCATTACGGGTCGTCTTTGTTGACGCTCCTGGAGCCCAGTGAGGGGAGGCCGCAAATTGTCCAAAGCCCTCCGCCGTTTTCTGTCGGCCAGGAGAGGAGGTGGGGGTCCTCTCCTCCCCCATCCTCCTCCCTCCCCCATCCTCCCCCATCCTTTCCCCATCCTCTCCCTATCCCCCCCCATCCCCTCCTCCCCTCCTCCTCCCCTCCTTCTCCCCCTCCTCCGCTCCTAATGATCCTCCTCAAGCCATTCTGGTTCAGTCCAACTGGCTCCCATCTGGTTCAGTACCAGCCGCTGCGAGTTCACCATACCATCTGAAGACGATCCTAGGAGCCATTTATTGTCGCTCAGTCTGGCTCTCCTGCGCCTCCAGTGGTCCGCAGTCGCTGCCTGGCGCCACTGGAGGCCACTGGAGGCCACCAGTGGAGGCCACTCAGGTGATTACAGTGGATACCGACGGTTTTTTCACGGAAAGCGAGACGTTCCCACACCAAACACTAATGGACGTCCTGGGGTCTCAGGGTTGGGTTCCTCCTGGAAGGTTTGTCGTGGTCGAGCTCCTGTTTCACGAAAGGCTCCCGGGAGCGTCTCGGAAAACCGTACCGCCCAGGCTGGCAGCCCCTTCTCCCAGACCCCCGCCGTCGTGATTTCTTCACCACGCCGGCCCCCAGTCGGGAATAGCCAGGACCCTGGTTAAGGGGAGCCGGTTAGTGATTGGGCCCCGAAGCCCAAAATGTGGACTGGAATCGCTGAACCAGGTCTGCTGTAGCTGGTCTTTTTCGGGTGACGGCAGTTCCGGTCAGTGGAATGGGGCGGGGGGGCGTTCCCCAGTACACATCACTAAACCAGGTCCCTCTCAACCCAGCCCCCCTGGCCCTGACATTGGTCCTGGCCCCAGCCACCCTCGCACCACTGGCCCTGTCCCTGGACCCAGCCTCCCCCCCTGGCCCAGCCTCGAAAAATCTAACGCGCCTCAGCTGTCAAAAAACTCACTCGAGCAGGTCCCAATCGACAACCGCTGATTCAGCACCAGGGCGCCCTGGCCCCACTTGCCCCGCCTCATCCTCCTCCTCCTCCTCCTCCTCCTCCTCCTCCTCCTCCTCATCATCATCATTGTCTCCTCGATCCCCCCACGTGCGCCTCCTCTTTCTCTCCTCAAATGTGCAAGAGCCAGAGCACGCGTGCCACTTGTTTTTTCACTTGTCGTCCACAATCCACCTGTAGGAGGACATTGTGAATCGAGGAGGAGGAGGAGGAGGAGGAGGAGGAGGAGGAGGAGGAGGAGGAGGAGGAGGATGGGGGAGGATCGAGGATCGAGGGAGGATCGAGGATCGAGGATCATGACTCGAGGGGGTCTGGGCTCTCAGCGCCCCCCAATGGCCGGCGCCGTGAAGCTGCGGCGCCTAGCCTGCGCGCTCCTGGCCACTCCTCCCGCCTGGGGCCTGCTCCTCGGCGGCCTCGGCCACGACGCGGCCTCCGCGGCTGGCGCGGCGGAGTCCGGCCTGGACCTGGACGACCTGCTGCAGATCGCCCCCCCGTCGCTCTGGGACCTCAGAGAAGGAAACAGTACCCGTACCTCGGGGGCGACAAAGAGGGGGGGTGCTGACAAGGGGTGGGTGGAGATCATGGCGGGGGGCATGATAGCTCGCCAGGTTTCATGGCGCCTCTTTCAATACGTCCCTGCCCCCCCCCCCGGGCCGCGCACATGCCGCCGGCCATGATTTGCGCCCCCTTATTGGACGCCCCCCTCTTGGCCGCCCCCGAATACCACTACCTTTCCCCCGCTTTCCCCTTTTTGGACCTTCTGAGGGAGGCCCTCGTCGCCACCGCTGGCTTCGCCTCGAAATCCTGGTGTCAGAACGCACCCCAGGAGAGGTCCAGGGAGTAGCGGCATCGGTACTCTTTCTGGTTTTCCCAGGACCGGCCCGTGCTCGTGCCCCCTGCAGACCAGCGGGAGGCTCAGAGCTGCCCCGAGTACGCCCACGCTTTGAAGCGCGCAGCGCGTGTCGTGCTGTGGAGGCGTCCGTGCTGCAGCACGCCGCGCGTTGGCGCGGCACGTGTTGGGCCACGTTCTGGCGAACGTGCCCGTCAGACCTCGGACGGGGCCAGGACGAGGACAGACCCGTTCTGAGAGCCTTCCGGAAGGCTCTCAGAACGCTCTGCGAAACGCTCGGAGAGGAGGCCGCGGCGCCCGAGAGACATCCTCCAGAGCCGCTGGATTTCAGCGATTCTCGATTTATCCGTGCCCGACTTTGTTACCTCGTCTTGGCTTCGTCTTAGAACGTGCCTGCCAGATCCACGGTTGCTCCGTCTGCGTGTTGAGCTTCGCGTGTCGAAGCCCGCTGCGGGTTTCGGCGTCGAGCCCAGGGGGGAAGTGAGGAGGGGCGGGCCTTCTCAGAGGGCTCAGAAGCCCCCCGGCCCTCTGAGCAGTTGTCCGAGCCTCCCCCGAGGACACCCAAGACCTCTCAGAAGGCGCGAGGGCTTCTGAGGAGTCCCGCCGCCTTCTGAGAAAGCCTTCTCCTTCTCGCTGCCCCCCCCATCGCTCGCCGCCGATAGATGCTCGCTCTGGGGCACTTCTTGGAGCCACTCGCCCAACTCGTGCGTCGAAGCTGCGTCGACTCGAGCCGAACCTGCGTCGAACCTGTGTCGAGCCTGAGTCGACCCTGAGTCGAACTTCCCCCCCTCGCTCGACGCCGAGGGCTGCGCGCGCTTGGGGCGCCTCGGGGCAGCCGAGGCGGAGCGGCTCCCGCCGTGGGCGCGCGCCCCGCCCCGCCGCCAGCAGTCTCCTCGAGAGCAGCACCGCCCTCGAGCGGGGGGCGGGCGCCGGCGCCGGCGTCGGCGCCGGCGGGGCGTCGCAGGCCAAGCCTTCCGTCGGGCGTGTCCCTCTACAGGAGGAACCATCGAAAGTAGCCCAAAAGTAGTATGGGGACTAATGTTTGAATATGTTTTGAATTTGTTTGTTCATTTGTGGGGTGTTTTTTGAATTTTTCGTCCAAAATCCGCCTGTAGGGGGGGAAGCCCGACCTAAACCAAGCCCAGGCAAGCGGGGCGTCAGTAAACGGCCTGTCGATAAGGGTGCGTTTTGCATGGGTGTCTTCAAAAAACAGGTGTGCCGAGCACAAGTGCGAGGTCACCCCCTACCCTCCCCTCCCAGAAATACAATGATGTGTCGACGTATTTGTTGTCGTGATGTATCCCACACTAGCGCGTGGTAGATGCCTTGCCACCCCGTCCTCGCTTGAAGAGGCCCCTTAGTTACCGCCCCGTTTACTGACGTTCCGTTTGCGGGGGCTTGGTCAGGGCCTGGGGCCGCAGTACCAGCCCGCGGAGGCCTTCCAGCCCGCCGCGGGCTTCCAGGCCATGGCGGCGGCCGCGGTGGAGACGAGCCACGAAGAACACAACGCGCCAGAAACATAAACTTTTGGCGCTCCGCGCGGACTTCTCGGATCCGTGCTGGACCCCCCCGGCGGCGCCTCGGGCGCCGCCCCTGGCGCGCTCCGCGCGCCGGGGAGGGGGGTCCAGCGCAGATCCAAGAGATCCGCACGGACCTCCAAAAGTTTTCTAATTATGGCGTTTTTCTTTCTTCTAGAGCCACGAGCTCCCCTGGGGCGTCGGCTCACCCAGGACCGGCGACAACGTGGCGGTGAACGAGTACTCGGCGATGCCCTCGGTGGACGTGCCCAAGTGGGTAGAGTACAGCCTGGAGCAGGGCGACACGCTCACGTCCTTCAGCAGCGCCAAGCAGGACGTGAAGCTCCTCACCCAGGTGCTGATGAACGTCACGAACGGCTTCTACCTGGACACCAACGCCATGGACGGTGAGACAAGCAGCAACACGCTCCTTCTCGAGCTGCTCGGCTGGCGTGGGCTGTGTGTCGAACCGCGCACGTACTGGTACATGGAACTGTGGTCCAAGTTTCGGAAGGCATGGCTGTTCCTCGGCGCCCTCTCCCCTCACGAGAACGCGACGAAGCTTGGTTTCAACTATGACGGCGAGGTCGACGAGCTGAGCGGTCACCAGGTCCACGCGTATCCCCTGAAGACCTTCTTGCAAGAGATGGGGGGGCGCAAGACGATCGACTTCTGGAACCTGCGCAGCGGGGGATACGAGGCCGAGATCCTGAACGAGACGCTGTTCCACTCGGGGAGCTTCATCGAGTTTGGCGTGATCCTCGTGACCTTCGATGGCCGCCGCTCTGCGCGAGGCTCCCAGGACTATGTGCAGGCACGCTCCAGGGACGAGGCCGAGGGGCTAATATTCGACCTACTCCACAATGCCAGCTTCAAGTACATCGGCGGTCTTGACCCCTACTGGATCAATACCGTCGAGCCGCGTTACGGCTTCAAGGACGCCGTCTTCGTCAACCCCACGTATTTCGTGGCACGCAACATTGCACTGCCTACTTCGGTCAAGGGCCCACCCCCTCCGACACTCCCCGGATTCAGTCCCAGCCATCCGTGGGCCGGCTTCAGCTCGTGGGAGGAAGGCTTCACCCACAGCGAGGAGGTCAGTCTCATTGGCAAGTACATCAAGGCGAGCAAGCAGGACGCCTCTCTGATAGAGCCTGTGCCGAAAGCGAATCGCGTCTCGAGCACCCTTACGATCAGCTAGATCTGAGCGGGTGCGTTGCTGTATGTGGGGGCCGCCGCGATTCGGAGCCACGATTTAATGCTGGGATCGAGCCTCGGTTCTCCTACTATGATTGGACGCACCTTTTCCCCAATCAGTGCAGGCACTGTTGGGGTCCTGGCGGATGTTGGAAGATGTGGCGAATGCTGGTGTCCGATTTTTCGGTGGGCGGCCGGGTTCCTGGGTTCCCTGTCCTGGTTCCAGGGTCCCGCTTCCGGGTTCGGGATTGGTCTCGGTGGGCCCGGGTTCCCGGGTTCCTGTTTCCGGGCTCCCAGGTCCCGGTTGTTTCTGGACCGCGGGGTTCTTGGAGTTCCAGTTTTGGTTTCCCGGGTTCCCGGGTGCCAGATCGATCTCGTTCAATCGATCTCATTATCGATCTCATGATCGATCTCATTGTCGATCTCACTATCGATCTCGTGAATTATCGATATCACTATTGATCTCACTATCGATCTCACTACCGGTCTCGCTATAGATCTCGCTATCGATGTGACCGTCGATCTCGCTGAATCGACCTCACTACCAGTCTAGTCTCACTATCAATCTCACGATCGATCTCACGATCGATCTGACTCAATGGATCTCGCCATCGATCTCACTACCGATCGCACCGATCTCACTATCGCTAGCACGATATACCATCGCACATAGCATAGCACCGGGCACCCCCGCGCCACGGGACACCACGGGACACCACACGACACCGTCGGAACACCATCGGGACATCATCGGGCCCCTGCCGGCCAACACGGGAGACACCAGCGTTTGGCTCGGCTTCGCTTTGGCAACGGCGGGTTCGTTCCTCGCGCCCGCCCACGCAGGTTTGCCTCGCACGCACGACACGAACACGAAACAGGAACCGATTTCTTGGGCGGGAAGTTCTCCGTTTCTTTGCGATCTCCCCTCCCGAACTCCGATATCTCGGGAGGGAGAGAGAGAGAGAGAGTGAACAAAAAAAACAAAAAGAAGAGAGAGAACCAAACAACTAGAACTATGACAAAGAAATGATTTTTTGTTCTTCCAATTCCAGGGCGATGATGGCCGTCACCTGGAGGGGGGGGGGAACGGGCCGATGAAGTCACGTTGCGCGCCGGCGGCGTCTGGGAATGCCTAGGAATGACCCGGGGCGGGTAGCAGCAGCATACAGGTGGCGATCTGCACCACAGCGCCTGTGTAACCGAGCGCGGGCGATAAATAATAAAGCCTACTCCCCCTCCACCCCTCCTATTTTTTATTAATCCCCGTCCAACAGGATTGAATTGTGGAGGGTGGCGCGGAGGCCGAACTGTATAATCCACGGGGAATGTTGCGAATCGAAGTTGCTATCATATCATGTCGACCAGCAACAGCATCAAAAACGCTGGGCATTGGCCATGGTGGTCTCACCACACCAGCGTCCGCAATCACGAGCGTGTGGCAGGGCTGTGGGATTCTCACCAGTTCAGTTTGCCCAAGTCGAGTGAGTCTTGTGCCGAGCGCCCAGGATCACCATCATCATCATCGTCACCGTCATCATCATCATCAGCATCATCATCATCATAACTTACCATCCCCAGGGCCATCTTTCATTATCCCCGCCAGAATCCCGAACTTCATTATCCCCGGGGTATTATTAACGCCCGTGGTCGTTTACACCACAGTGCCTGCGTGCACCACAGCGCCTGTGTACACCTCAAAAACAGCGTGCAACACAGCGCCAGTGTGCACCACAGTGCCTGCGTGCACCACAGCGCTTGTGTACATCACAACGCCTGCGTACACCACAGCAACCGTGTGCACCGCAGCACCAGTGTACACCACAGTGCCCCAGTACACCACTGCGCCTGTGTACGCGACGGGGCCTGTGTGCACCGCAGCGACCGTGTGCAACAGAGCATTATTTTTGTCAGAGTGAGGGGGCTGAACCGAACGGTCATTCACTGTCCCTGGGCGCGTGGCTGTAGTCGAATTCCGCGATGCGGATTCTCGTTGTTGTGGTTGTTGTTGTTGCTGCTGTTGTTGTTGGTGTTGATGTTGTTGTTGTTATTGTTGTTGTTGTCGTTGTTGTTGTTGTTGTCGTTGGTGTTGGTGTTGTTGTTATATGTTGCTATGTATTGTTGTTTGTTGTTGTTTGTTGTTGTTTGTTGTTGTTTGTTGTGTGTTGTTTGGTGTTTGTTGTTTGTTGTGTGTTGTTTGTTGTTTGTTGCTTGGTGTTTGTTGTTCGTTGTTCGTTGTTTGTTGTTTGTTGTTGCCGTCGTTCCACACGCGAACCGCCAAGCGACCCACCCGCGACCCACCCCGAGACCCACCCGCGACCCACCCGCGACCCACCCGCGACCCACCCGCGACCCACCCCGCGACCCGCCCGCGACCCACCCGCGACCCACCCGCGACCCACCCCGCGACCCACCCGCGACCCACCCCGCGGCCCCTCCGGCGACCCACCCGCGACCCACCAGCGACCCACCCGCGACCCACCCGCGACACACCCCGCGACCCACCCGCGACCCAATCGCGACCCACCCGCGACCCACCGCCACCCACCCGCGACCCACCCGCGACCCACCCCGCGACCCACACAAAATGTTCGGCGGTTGCGGCGGGTTTTTTTTGCATTCGTTCCAGGTGGAGAACCTGCGACACACCCGCGACCCAAACCGCGCCCGCGACCCACCCGCGACCCACCGCGTCCCACGCGCGACCCACCCGCGAACCACCCCGCGACCCACCCAAAATTTTCGGCGCCTGCGGCGGGCTTCTTTTGCATTCGTTCCAGGTGGAGAACATGCGACCCACCCGCGACCCAAACCGCGTTCAGTGTAAAAATCAAAATGTTCCGCGCATGCGGCGGGTTGTTTTTGAATTTCCTCCAGGTGGAGGTGGAGGGCCCGCGACCCACCCGCGACCAAAATTACGTTTGCTGAACAAGCCAAAACTTCGGCGCCTGCGGCGGGTGTGTTTTGCATTCGTTCCAGGTGGAGAATCTGCGACCCAAACCGCGTTCAGTGTACAAATCAAAATTTTCGCCGCCTGCGGCGGGCTGTTTTTGCATTCGTTCCCGGTGGCACCCTGCGTTTCCTGTTAGGAGGAGGAGGAGGAGGAGGAGGAGGAGGAGGAGGAGGAGGAGGACGAGGAGGACGAGGAGGAAGAGGAGGAAGAAAAGGAGGAAGAAAAGGAGGAAGAGGAGGAGGTGATGGAGGAGGAGGTGATGGAGGAGGAGGAGGAGGCGGACGACGACGACGATGAGGACGAGGACGCGGACGAGGAAGTGGAAGAGGAGGAGGAGGAGCAGGAGGAAGAGGAAGAGGAGGGCGCCATCGACAGGGAAGTTGAGGGCCACGAGGTCCGCGAGCTCGACGCCCGCGTCGCCCGCGCCCGCCCCCTCACGCTTATCCGCAATTGTGGGGCGTTACGTATATCAGAGTGAGGGGGCCGAACAGTCATTTACTGTCCCTGGGTGCGTGGCTGACGTGGTATTCCCCGATGCGGATGATGAATATTATTAGTAACATGATTAACATTATTCTAATTATCAGTAGTAGTATTATTACTATTATTATTGTTGTTTGTTTGTTTGTTTATGTGTGGTTGTTGTTGTTGTCGTTGTTGTTTTTGCTGTTGTTTGGCGTCATCCCCCCCGCGACCCGGCCCACCACCCAGCCGCGACCCACCCCGCGACCCGCCCGCGACCCACCCTCGACCCACCCGCGACCCGCCCGCGACCCACTCGCTTCTCGAGGGCGGGGGATTCTGGGGTGGCGGTCTGGGGAGCCACATTTTTTCAATTTCGGCCTCTCGCTGTAGCGCCGCGCACATTCTCTCCAAAATCTGATTCTCGCCTTAGCGCCGCGCACGTTTTTTCTTGTTGGGTGGGGGGAAGCCTGCTGGTGGGCCAGTCACCCCAGGGGAACTCCATTGGTAAGCCAGCCACCCAGGAGTGGTCCACTGACGGTGTCCGTCCACCCCAAGGGTTGCCCACTGTTGGTGTCTCCACTGTCTGGTTGACCCATTGCCGTCTACTCCAAGGACGCCCAATTGTAGACCCTCCACTCAGGGCTTGCGTGCGTGCGTGAGTGTGTGTGGTGGTGGTGGTGAGGGTGGTGGTGGTGGTGGTGGTGGTGGTGGTGGTGGTGGTGATGGTGATGGTGGTTTTGGTGGTGGTGGCGGTGGTGGTGGTGTGGTGTTGGTGTGTGTGTGTGTGTATGTGCGTGTGTGTGTGCGTTTGTGAGAGAGAAAGAGAGTGTGTGTGTGATTGTACGTGGACCAGGCCCCCGAGACAATTCCATTGGTGGACCAGCCACCCAGGTGGTGATCCACAGGCGGCCCGTGCCTGGAATTGCTTGGTATTGGTTGGTCGTGCTTGGCATTGCTTTGCCGTGCGTGGCATTGATCGGGCGTGCTCTTCGGGGACTGGCATTGATATCTCGTGCTTGGCATTGGGCGATCGTGCTTGGCATCGGTCGTGATTGACGTTGGTCGGTCTTGCTCGGCATTGAGTGATCATGCGTTCCATTGCGTGGGATTGGTTGATAGCGCATAACATTGTTTGGCGACGAGTAGTCGTGCTTGGCAACGCTTGGCGTTGCTTGGTCGTGCATGGCACTGCTTGGCGCTGATGGTTCATGCTTTGTATTGGTTGGCAGCGATTGGTTGTGCCTGCATTGATGCTTGGTATTGCTTGAAATTGTTTGGCGTTGCTTGCCGTTGAGACACCCCCAGGGCTGATGACTGCGACCCCATGGGCCTTTGAAAGAGCTCTTACCTTCCCTTCGGCCTTCGGGTCGTGTTCAGGGTACTGCAATGGGGACCTCCGAGAATAGTCCACATGTGTGTATGTGCGAACATGCATGGCCGTGTGTATATATTTACATACGTAGGTTTCAGATTTGCCATTGTTTGACGGTGAGTGGTCGTGCTTCGCATCGGTGGGCATTGCTTGGCCATGTCTGACACTGCTTAGCGTTGATGGCTAATGGTTTCTAGTGGTAAGCAAGTGCTAGTCGTGCTTGCATTGCTTCGCATTGGTTGGCCATGCTTAGCATTGGTTGGCCGTGCTTGCGCGCCTCAGAGCTGATGGCGTGACCCCATGGGCCCTTGGGCGGGGCCTGAGCTTCCCTTCGGCCATCGGGTAGTGTTCAGGGTGCTGCGAAGGGGACAGCCGAACGCACACACACACACACACCGATATAAATCTATACGCATACGCACACATACATACATACATATATATATATATATATGTATATATCTATATATGCACGCGCATCAAGCTGCATGCGGCAAACCCCGCCAACGTGCCTGCAGCGCAGCAGGAAGGAGACCGAGCGTTTTGCGATGGCACTGGCGGACATGCCACACCAAGGGGGGGCCACTAACGAAATCTCCACACCAGAGATTCTCCACACCAGAAAGTCCACTGGCGGTCCCTCCTCTACGCTGGTAAATCCATCCACTCCAAGGAATGTCTGTCTGTGGGCCAGCCACCCCGGGGAATTCCATTGGTGGGACAGTCACCCAAGTGGTGATCCACTGGTGGCCCGTGCTTGGCATCGCTGTAGATTGGTTGGTCTTGCTTGCCATTGAGTGCCATTGCTTACCCCGAAATGCCCTGAAGGCTTATCCGAGAGGCCTTGGGGGTGGGGCACTTAGTGCCAAGCACGACCAACCAAAGCTAAGCAGCGCCGAGCTCGACCGGCCAATGCCAAACACGGCCAATCAATGCCATGCGCGAGCACCCAATGCCAGGCTACGCCAAGTACGACCGATACCAATCATGAGCAAGCAATGCCAAGCAATGCCAAGCAGGACAGCACATCGCCAAGCGATGCCAAGCCGAAATACGCAACGCCGATCAACGCCAAACACAACCAGTAAAAATGGCAATCAACGCCAGGCGATGCATAGCATTGCCAACAATGCCAAGCAATGCCAAGGACGACCACTCATTGCCAAGCAATTCCAAGCATGACCAATAAATTCCAGGGAACGCCAAACACGACCACACATTGCCAAGCTGTGCCGAGCAGGAACAGGCAATGCCAAGCAATGCAAAGCACGAACACCAAATGCCGAGCACGGCCAACCAATGTCGAGCACGACCGAAAAATGCCAAGAGGGGCACTCAGTTCAATTCCAAGCAGTGCCACTGACGGCCTACCAATGCCAAGCATCGCCATGCAATGCCAAGCGTGACAACGAGTGCCAGACAATGGCATGCACGACCACCCAATGCCAAGCAGCACCAGGCATGTTCACCCAACGTCAAGCAGTGCCAAGCGATACCACTCAATGCCGAGCGCGACCAAGTAGTGCAAGGCGCGACCACGCAATGCCCAGGAATGCCAATGGCCATCCGACCGCCAATGTCCAGCAATTCCAAGCACGGCCACCAAATTAAGCACGACCGAGCTATGCCAAGCACGACCAACCAATGCCAAGCCACGCTAATCACGACCACCCGACGTCGAGCAATTCTAACCGTGATCAACAACAATGCATCGCCCATGCCAAGACGGCATATTCCTCAGCTCTGGAGCGTCCCCCAAAAGGCTCAGGGTATCCAACGAGGTTCTCCCACAGGCTTGCCCAGCAGACTCCGAAGCATTCCAACAATTGCTGCGGGGCCTCGATTCACGCTGTGATACCTCTCCCGCAAGGCCCCTTAGCAATGCTTGGCATCGGCAGCTCTCGATGTCATTGTTTTATTTAGATGAGGCCCAGGGCCCTGAATTTGATTGAAACAATCAATACCCCTCAATGTGATTGAGGGCCGAACATTAAAACAATCACATTGAAGCGCACGGACTGTTTCAATCACATCCAGGGCCAGGGCCTTGAGGCCTTTTTTGGGGGGTGGGGGGCACAAGAAAGATGGGACACAACACATAAACTGTCAGGTTATGTGGTCTGTCGTTTTTTGGGCCCCCCCCCCTTTCCCAGGCCTCGGGGCCATGGCCCTGAACCAGTGTGATTGGAGCAATTAGCGCCCCTCAATGTGATTGTTCGTAGTCGCTCACGGCCAACGGCGCTGAAAGTGATTGAAACAATCAATGCCCCCAAATGTGAATGTCTTCATCGTTATATATATATATATATATATATATTTATGTGTGTAGTCGCTTTCATAGACGAAATCTAGCACATTTGGCCCAGGGCCTTGACTGTGAGTGAAACAATCAGTACCCCTCAGTGAAATTGAAGGCCATCGATTAAAACACCCCTGGCTCGGGGCGCCGTGAAGAGGGCAAGGGGCTTGGGCGGAGATGAGCAAAAGAGGAGGAGAGGTAGCGCGTGGCGGGGGGGCGATGGCGGGGGGGCGTCAGAGGGACGGGGGGTATCTGGGGAGCGCCCGATGGGGGGGGGAGAAAAACAACTAGATGGTCGATTTTTGTTTTTTTGCTCCCCCCCCCCCCCAGGCAGCGCCGCGGGCGATAGGGGGGGGGGGGGGGCGTTCTGGCCTCTCGTCCTTTCCTCCCTCTCCCAGTCCCCCCCTCTCCCCCCCCTTACCGCGCCGCTCCCTCTCTCTCTCGATCTATATCGCCCTCCTTCTCACCCCCACCCGCGTTGCAACGCGCACCTCGGAAGTAAATCGTGCCGCGCGGCGGCCCCCAGACCGCCACCCCAGCATCCCCCGTTTTCGACCCACCCGCGACACACCCCGCGACCCCACCCGCGACCCACCCGCGACCCACCTGCGACACCCACCCGCGACACCCACCCGCGACCCACCCCGCAACCCACCCGCGACCCAGCCCGCGACACACCCGCGACCCAGCCCGCGACACGCCCGCGACCCACCCGCGGCCCACCCGCGACCCGGCCCGCGACCCACCTACATTGGTTGCACGAACAATCAGCGCCTGCGGCGGGCTCATTGTATAATCTGTGGAAATTAAGCGGCGGGCTTCTTCCCAGCCTCGCACTGCAAACTTTCCCGCCATCCCTTCACTCTTATCCGCGACTGCAGGGTGCTACGGTGCATCCCTTATGACAAAATGGAGCGCCTGTGGCTCCACAGAAAACAGTTGGTTTATGTAGGATTTGGACAGCAATCGTATGGATAAAGGAAGGTCGAAAGACTAAGAGTCCTCCCGGGCCCTCCCGCATCATCCTAACTCGTCCCATCTACGTCCAGACAGCTCCCACAAAATTGGCCGTCCGAGAACCATGCATGCGGACTGATTCAATCTGCCATTCTGCGGTTCACGCTGAGATGCTCATGGGCGCTGTAGCGCCGACCCGCACGACGGGGGGAACGCTAAGGGGGGAGGAGAAAGAGGAGGAGGAGGAGAAGGAAGGAGGAGGGAATAACATCGCATGTTATTATCAGCACTTCCCTTGCATGGTGTTTAGCTGTCCGCAGCAGATAGATCCTTACCGACCTGTTTCTTGTACCTGGCCTGTGCACGCAGGCGCTGTGGTGTACACCAGCGCTGCATTGCACGCGGATGCTGTGGTGTACACAGGCGTCGTGGTCGTGGTGTGCACAGGCGCTGCGGTACACGCAAGTGTACACATTCGTCGCGGTGTACACAGTCGCTGTGGTGCACGCAAGAGCTGTGGTGTACACAGGCGCTGCGTTGCACATGGCTGTTGCGGTGTACGCAGTCGCTGAGGTGTACACGCGCGCTGTGGTGCACGAGAGCACTGTGGGGTACACAGGCGCTGTGGTGCAGATCGCCACCTACATGCTGCTCCTACTTGGCATCGGTCACCCCTAGGCCTTCCCGGACGCTGCTGGCGCGGAACGGGGGGGTGGGGGCGGAGCCGGTGACGGCCGCTATCCCGGAAAATTAGAGACAGGCTCAAGAAATATTGATAGAGACAAAGTCGAGAGAGAGAGATAGAGAGAGAGAGAGAAGGACATATAGATTTTGAACAATACAAGATCCACTGATTGGGGTTTTCTCTGGTGTTTTTCGATCTGTGGTGGGCTGCCTAGCCGCAGTGCGTTTGCAGCCGCTGATTGGTTTGCTTTACCACCTGTGCAATCATCGCTAGGCTGTGGCTTTGTTATTTTCAAGTTGTCTGGTGAGGGCGTGAGCAGTTGTTTGGACGGCTTAGCCTTTCTCGGGCGGATCATATTTTGAATTGTCCACTCTGACGCGCAAGCCCATCCGCTCCTCCCGCTCTAGTTTTCGCTGCTGCTGTTCGTCCTCGTCCTCCCCCTCCTTGTTCCTCCTGTTTCCTCCTCCTTCCCCGTCCTCCTCCCCATTATCATCCGTCCTCGTCCTCCTCGTCCTTTTCCTCCCCCTTTTCCTCCTGTTCGGCTCTCTATTTCCGATTACTCATAACACGATGCAGTGTTTTGGGGAGTTCCAGGTTCGCAATGGCAGGCACCAGCGGCGGTCAAATCAAAGACCGGCGCAATGGGAAGGGATGGGTGGAAGGGGTGTGACGTCAGACGTGGCGCGAGCGCCACTCCTAGACATCTGGCGCCCCATTTGTTTCGATGCGTGGGCCCCTCGAGGTCTGGACAGCTTCCCCAGGGCCAGCTTTTTGTTCTGAGTAGTTGTTTGACGGTCCCGGGGCCTGGCGAAAGGCGAAAACCGCCAAAAGCCGGCCGGTCCAATTTTTCCAGAGCCTCGGATCTCTAGGCTATAGTTTGTCCTTTCCCCGCCTCTCCCCTCTCCTTCCTCGTCCTCCTCCATTCGCCCCCCCCCCACACACACACCTCCTCACCCATCCCCCTCCTCCTTGTCCTCCTCCCTCCCCCTCCGCCTCAACTTCTCCCCCTCTTCCTTTTTCATAGTTGGCCATATATGAGCGTGTGGGCTGGTGCGTTCTGCAGTTTAGAACATGTAAGGCGATCCGACTTAGATCTGGCGGCAACTACTTCAGCGTGGCCAGCGTAGAACTAGTAACAGGTCAAGGCCAGAGATGAAGTACAGAAAGAGGCCAGTGGGCAGAAAGTTTACGCTAGACTCGCAGGGCCGGTGGGAGAGCGGAGGACCAACCGAAATCGAACGATGTCCTAAGTAAGAGGAGGCACGGAACGAGTAACGACATCCGCATGCACGCAACTTGCATTTGAGCTGTAGCAGGATAAGACGCAGTCCTCTGGTGATTCCACCATCCCGATCCCCAATCCCACACCTTTCTCTCAATGACATATCCTCCTTAGTAGAAGAGTCAGTTAAGCAAAACACGGAACCGGCGACGGCTTGTACAAATGTGGTAGGTTGGGCGTTTTTGTCCACTTTTTGTAGTGGTTGGCACAGGCGGGAATTGGTTGGCCAAGTGCTAACAGTACTGCAACGTTGAGGGCTGCTGCGTACTATTGGACTGTGCTGTTGTAGGTAGCCCACAGCGGGAATGGCGAGGAGGGCACGTCCCCTACCGAGGTGCCCAAATGGCAACGACCACAACCTCTCAGTATAACCAACTGAGAGTTGGGCTAGCAGAAGGTCCGAGTAAGTAGGGGAAGAGTGACCGGCTCAGACGGTACTGGCTGATCATGCGGCTTACCGTACTACAGTTTATACTGACGGCATCGTGTGGCAAGGTGAGGCACGCGGTTTGCTGGTAAGTGGTTTGTTCATGCAGTATTGGTTTGTCATCAGTGGCAAGGTTGGCGTACGAAACGTAGGTGAGACAAGGCGTGACTAATCAGCTAAACTTGGAAGAAAGGCATGGTCGGCTGTGCCTGCCTGTACTGTACCTGAGCGTTGTTCTGGAGTAATTTTGCATTCGTAAATTGCATGGAAGCGTTCCGCTCTACCGAGGCGTAGCGCAACAGAATGGCCACAGCCAGTATGGAGAGCTGCGAGGTCTAAAAGGTGTTGCCCGCGCATGCATCCAGCACGCGTCGCATGGGGTCCCCAGCGTATGGGAAGGGCTCATGCACAGAGACCCGTGTGGGTTTGGCGCAGGCGACGTCAACATGTTTTTGACACTGGCTCAGTAGCATGGGACGTGGGTGAACTTCCCTCCCCCAACTGTTGTGCCCAACCCTCCGACCAAATTCTGAGGAGCGAGGCAGAGGTGCAGCTAGGAAGTGTGCCGCGCCGTCGATACTACTTGCTCAGGCTGTGAGGCTCGTTGGCGCTGACAGTGCAGGCGCATGAATTAAAATAATAAGGGTTGGCGCATGGGTACTAGCTGTTCTGTATCAACACTGCGGGGGCGACTCCCTGTAGCCTAGGGGTGGCCGAGATAGTGTAGCGCTTTCTCCGATCATTGCAGGAACGTGCCGAACACCTCGCAACCCGCCCTCCCCATAGCAGCTTGTACTGCTGCCCTGCAAGGAGGAGGTGAGAAAAGACGTGCCGAGCCAGCTAAGCTTGAAATATTGGCATGATCGATCGTGCGAGACTGTAGTTTGTTTTAGCGTTGCTCTTTGGTAGTGCTGTCTTCGTAAGCTTCATGAGAGCGTTCTCCTGTACACGGCGTGGCGCACAGAATGGTCATTCGTCCCCCTCCACACCCCACATATCAGGGAGATCTTTTGTCCATTAGTCGTCGGGTCGCGCCGTCTGGCCTTCTGTGAAAAGTGTTAGTCTGATAACTGATGCAATGTGGCTGGCACAGTTTTTACTTGCTGACCAAAGTGGTTCAACTACTGTAGCGTATTTAGCCTGAACAGCGTTTCAAGTGCAGCAGAGGGTAGCGGCTAGAAGAGGTAGCGGCTAGAAGAGGGTGGCGATTCGGTCAGCACGTATAAAGTATTTGCAAATAGCGGCTTTTTGAAGCAGCGTGTCCAGGAAGGCGTTCAGAGTAGATTTGTTGCAGAGCTTTCAAATCCCAAACTTCTCCACCACCCTGCGAGAGCACGTGGACAAGGCCTGTGAAGTAGCCAATGGCCTTTTGATTGGGAGGAGTGGACGGCGACAGTAGAGGGCCCATAGGGGGCCCAGAGTAAGGAAGCCGAGCCGCGGAGTGCAAGCGCTGCAGGGGGTGAAGACGGAGTAGGCAGCCTATCAGTAGTCGTACTTCTGGTGGCCACTGTCGTTCAGCGAGTTGTTGCTGTAGGCGATGTCAGGTCCGAGAGTACAGCGTCTGCTCTCTATCCCCAGTATGGCCTGTGTACTGGTCGATACGCAGGAAACTGGGGTCTTGGTGTTGGTGTTGCTTTTCGCGGTGCTGCCGTCTCGCTCTGTTGGTGTGTCGATTGGATCTGAGTGTTGCGCATGGCTGCTCCTTCTATGTCGTCCTGGTAGGCCCACCCCTCCTCCTCCTCCTCCTCCTCCTCCTCCTCCTCCTCCCCCTCCTCCTCCTTCTCGTCCTCCTCCTTCCCTCCCTCTCCTCCTCCTCCTCCTCCTCCTCCCCCTCCTCCTCCTCCTCCTCCTCCTCCTCCTCCTCCTCTGCCCCGAGGTGCGCGTTGCCGGATTCTCCGACGGCGCGCTGCGCTTGCGGGCCTTGCCGCCGCTCCGAAGGGCCTGCAGGGAGCTCTGCCCCGGCGCGGCGTTTCTGGCCTGCAGTTTCTGCGAGCGGATCCCCCTTGGGGATGGGAGGTGTTCCTCTTCCTCCTCCCCCTCTGCCTCTTCCACCTCCTTTTCCTCCGGCTCCTCCTCCTCCTGCTGCTCCTCCTCTTCCTCCTCCTCTCCCCTCCTCCTTCTCCTCCCTCTTCCTCATACTCCTCCTCCTCCTACTCCGCCCTCCTCCTTCTCCTCTGCCTCCTCCTCATCATCATCCTCCTCGTCCCCCTCACCTCCTCCTCTTCTATCCTCTACCCTCGTCCTCCTCCTCCTCCTCCTGCTGCTCTCCTCCTCCTCTCCTCCTCTCTCCTCCTCCTCCTCCTCCTCCTCCTCCTCCCCCCCTCCTCCTCCTCTCTCCTTTTTCTTCTCCTCCTCCCATCCTCCTTCTCCCCATTCCTCCATCTCCCCTCTTTCTCCTCCTCCTCCTCTTCCTCCTCCTCCTCCTCCTCCTTTTCCTTCTCCTTCTCTTCCCCCCCATTCCTCGTCCTCCTCCTTCTCCTCTTCCTCCTCTTCCTCCTCCTCTCTCCTCCTCCTCCCATCCTCCTCCTCCCATCCTCCTCCTCTTCCTCCTCCTCTCTCCTCTCTGAATCCGCGACCCCAGCACCAGACCCACTGTAGGGCTGGTGTCCCTCGGGGCCCGGTATCGGGCCAGAGTCCAATTATGAATCATTAAGGCGCGTGTCCATCCAGGGGCGGGGTTTTCGGCACCTGGACGGGGGGCGACATCCCGCCCAGGTGCCCGCGACAAGACATGCACCCCAAAAAACCAGTGTCAAGGCAGAACAACACAAAAATCAAATGCAGGGGCGGCCAGCCAGAGGAAGGAGGGGCGGGTCGGGGGGGGGGGTGGGGGCGGGGGCGTCGGAAGTGGTTCTGGGCAGCGCGCTTCTGACGTCGGGCAGTCCAGCGCCAAGGTGGCCGCGGGGGCGGCAGCGTCATCGAGCGGCGAGTGACCGGGCGCGGGGCGGCTCGAGACCTGGATGTTGAGCGGTCGTCGCCGCCGGGAGGCAAGGACTGTGCTTAAGTGCGGCGGCGGCGGGCAACGCAGGGCGGCGCTGCTGAGGTAGGCGTGGCGTGCGCCGCTGGCACCTGGCAGGCGCCGAGGATCATTTTGGCGTTGCCCACCACCAGCGTGCGCTGGATGCGGCGCCACGCGGTGGCGATTACAGCCGACCGCTCCGTGTCGGGCAGGTTCTGGCCGTAAGAGCGGACGAAAGAAACGACCTTCTCCTCCTTCCACTGATCCTTCCGCTCCTTCTCCTCCTCCTCCTCCCTCATTCGTTGTCCTTATAAATATCCTCTCCAGTTTTTAGGGCGGGCTGGGCGTTTCGCCTGAGACTTCCCCACCTTTTATGATCCTGAAGGTGCAGATTTGCAATCATTTCGCAGATTCAGGGCGGTTCGTTAATAACATGCGGCTCTCGCGGCAGCGCCGCCCACATTCGCTTTAAACATTTGCAAGTTTCACGGATTGAGGACGGGCCGTTTTCAACATGTGCCCCTCGCCTCTGCGCCACTGACATTCGGCTGAAACATTTGCAAGAGTTTCATGGATTGAGGGCAACCCGTTTTCAACATGTGGCTCTCGCCGTAGCGCCGCGCGCATTCTTTCAAACACATTGCAAGCGTTTCGCGGATTGAGGGCAGTTCTTTTCGACATGTGGTTCTCGCCCTAGCGCCGCGGATATTTGTTTCAGACATTTGCATGTGTTTCACTGGTTCCCGTGATCAACGTACCAGGCATGGTGCTTTGGAGGGAGTCGGGGTTATGATGATGCAACAGTTACGTTGTTT